ATGGGTCTAAAACATCTTGTATCAACAAGTTAAAGGAATTCTCAAAGAATAATAAGGAAACATCAGCTGAACCTCTACCTCTCAGGGATTGTGATTGGCCAAATTTGAAGATCAAAATAATTTAGACATTATAGATTGTAACAGTCTATGCTAAATAGGAAGCTGTAAGTATGTATATCCTTCCTGATATACATATTAAATAGATAAATGGAGAAGAGAAACGTTTGTCCTACATTGAGAATCTCAAAATACTTAGGCAGGGTGTCAAATGCCTGTTTTCCCAGATTTCTGAGACTCTGAGGCAGGAGTATCATGAGTTTAATCCCAGCCTGGGCAATTTAGCAAGACTCTGCCTAAAGAAATTTAAAAGGCTGGGAATGTAACTCAGTGAGACTGCCCTGGAATGCCCTGGGTCTACTCCCCAATACTGGAAGATGAAGGGGGACGGTGTTCTCAAAGTATACTAATTAATTTATATATACAAAACACATCAATTATATTTACAGTGGTGGAATCTGGCTGGCATCATTTTATCTAAGTGACAAAAGTTAACATCACCAAGTATGAACTAGTTGACATGATGTGCTTCCTGATTCAGTGCAATGAAAAGAACACAGCAACATGCCTTTTGAGGTACTACAGACCCAGAATGAGTAAATCAGGCTGAAACATCAGGCAACTTGATGCTGAGGTCATCAATGGCAAGCCAAGTGTCTTAGACACTTTATCATTGCTGGACAAAATACCCAGCACCCACAACTTAAAGCAGGAACGGTTTGGTTTTGGCTAACAGCTTGTAGAGTGCCAGTCAACAGGCATCAAGCCCCAAAGCAGGGTAGTCTGGCAGAAAAATATGGTAGACAAAAAGCTACCGACTAATGATGACCAAGGAGATAAAGAAGGAACTGAAAAGGGGGATAAACCCTTCTGGGCCATGACCATCCTTCAAGCCGACCCTACCTTACAATAGCAGTCTAGCTATAAGTGTCCATAACCCCATAGCCTTCCTGAAGAGATGCCTGTAAGTATACAAGACTTGGGGAGTGCTTAGCTATGGAATCACATTGAGAAACAAACAAAACCCAAACTATGGCAACAAAATTCAGTAGGTTCTGCTGAATGGGAAACTAGGCCCATAAAAGTCATTATTGGGGGGAAAAAAAGAGCTATTATAAAAGAAGTTTGTGGATTTGTTAGTAACGTTAAGTAAATATTTCTCCTAGGAGACTTC